CACTTTGTGAAAATCAAGATTTAAAATGTGTGACGAAAAGCAGTAAAATCACATTGATCAACATAAAAGTGAGATCGATGTAGCGGAAACAGGATGGAGGAAAGTCAGAATTCACACACGTGTACAAATCTCTGGTTTCCGAAGTCCAGTTGGAAGATACTCAATCCGTGTCACGTTCCTGGACCATAACATCGCTGTAATGTTGATCTAGAAGCTGTGTGTTGTACAGATGAATCCGTCTGTGGTAACAAGGCTAATCAATCAAGGAGGAAAGTGAAGGCAGGGTGCTTGTGAGACGGCATGTAGGTTCTGGTCACAAGGCTTCCAGGTCAGTGCTGTACCGCTGACCCTCCCCAACCAAACAAGAGTTCTATTTATCCAGACCAGGGGGCCACCAGGTCAGATTTGCAGTCAGTTATTCCCACTGAGGAGAAGGATTTGTGCTTTCCTGTTTAATTGCGTATCTGGCCAGGCCATGAGTTTCAGCATCCACCTTTTGTTGGCCTTTTCCAAGACGCAGACATGGGAACTCAGTGCTGTGACATAAATCCTCTTTCCAGACTGCTACTCAAGGTTTTAAGGGAGTTAAAGTTAAATTTAACCTCCCGCTTCGGCTGTTTTCACACAAAAAAATAAAAATTTAAAGCAGATTTCCCGACTTTCTTATTGGAGATTTACAAATAATTCTAAAAGTTAAGAATTTCTGCAAAGTCTGGATACTTTTACCCTTTTTTTCTGAGAGATAAGATGGTGTATTTCTTTACATATATTCAGATAAGAGGTTCCACATGTTTTTGCTTAAACCTCACTGGTAAAGGTTATGATAAGTACCAACAATACTTTATCAATTTTATACTTGTATTTGTTGATAACATAGAAGGCATGTTATAAAACAAGCAAACATGTACATAAAAAGAGAAGATAAAGATGAAAATAAACAGTATTGTAAAATGTCTCACTAGCCCTGACAGCTTTATACTATCAGCTGGTATTTCAAGACATAGAAATACTTAGAGTCACTTAGAGTGACATTTATTGGTGATTATTTTGAGTATAAGTCCATATTTCCAGTTATTTTCTTCATAATTTCACATTCCTTTGCTGAATTGTCATTGTTTTTTAGCTTTATGGCAGGGCGGACGAAAGCTCGTACTAGGGAATGGGAGAACCTGCCATTTTTGGTAGTGTGTTTGTATTGTTATGTTCAACTCATGCTGATTTGTTTTGCAGTAATCCTTCTTTAAGTGAAATTTTTTCTTAAGCATTTAATACCAAGAGAGAAGCACGTAAGTGTTTCATATCAGATCATAAATGTACAACATGAATTTTCACAAAATGTACACACTCCTATGACCACTACCCAGATTAAGAAACGGAACATTCCCAAAGCCCCCATGGTGGCCCTCCAAATCACCCCTACCCTTTCTTCCTCAAAGTAACCTCTCTTTTGATGTGTATTATCTTCTATTACTTCTGCCTGTGTTTGACTTTATGTAAATGAAATGATGGCACCTGTCTTCTCTGGTGTCTGGCTGCTTTTGCAGTACATTCTGTTGGTTGGATTCATGCATGTGGTCACATGGGGTTGTAGTTTATTCTGTTTTAAGTGCAGCACTCCATTGTGTGATGGCCCCATCACATTATTCCTTCTACTATCGAGGGCATTTGTGTTGTGTCCAGTTTGGGGCTATCATGAGTAGGGTCTCTGTGAACATTACCATCCCTGGTTTTTGGTGGACATACGCCCACATTTATGTGGGATGTGCACCTAGGAGCAGAATTACTGAGTCATAAGGTAGTTCATCTTTGGTAATACTGCCCAAAGGTACCAATGTGCATTTCCTAATGAGCAGGGGTTGAGGAGCAGTTCCACACTCACCAACACTTGGTATTAGCGTTGGCCTTTTTAACTTTAGCTGTTCTGGTGGATACCGTCAGCCAAGGGGGTCCCTCAGGCCCTGTGTCACAGAGGGCCCTACGCGTGTGTTCCTCAGGAGTGTGCTATGTCTGAAGGGTGGTTGCTTACAAAGAGCCACAGGACCACTTCCAGGACCTGCTTGTTCTGCAGAAGGTAGCCTGAGGGGTTGGTCAAGAGATGCCTCTCAGCATCTCTTGGGATGGAAGGAGGAGTGAGTGCATGGGGCTGGTTTCTTTGGGCTTCCTAGTCTTCGTGCACCTGGGGGAGGCCCTCGAGCAGGATGGAGCCCTGGGTAGGGGGGAAAAGGGTGTCACGACCATGTCTGGCGCTCCCCCTTGTAACAGGCTTCCGTTGTCAAGGAGGCTGGGAATTCTACATTTGGACCTGGGCCTCTGAGGTTCCATTCCACTGAGTAGCGTGGTAAGGTGAAGCCAGTAGAGGTGGGCGCTGGTAGCACCTGGTGGGCAGAGGCTGACCGGCATGGCTTTGTGAGAGATGAAAGAGTACCTGCTGGCCACCGTGCTCGCCTCTGTCTAGGGAGGGGTGTGATGGTGGTGATGGTGGGCAGGCAGCTGAGCCTGGGTTGGGGGTGAAGAGCCTCCCTGGCTTCCTGGGAAAGAGGACAAGAAGATTGAGTGTTCGCCCCATGGGCTTCCAGTGGGATTAGACTAGGGATATGGGGAAGTGGCAGTGGGTGCCTGTTGGCAACAGGATCCTTGCCTTCCATCCTTCCCTGCCTCCTAGAGCGCACTGTCCCAGAGAAAGATCATGTGAGTGACAGGTGTCATTTTAATTCTGTAGTAGCCATGTTTTTGTATAAAAAGTATGCAGAAAGAGGTAAAATTAATTTTAATTATATATTTACCTAATAGAGCCAAAATATAACTTCAATCAGTGATCAGTATAAACATTACTAGTGAGATGTTTGCATATTTGAGCCAAGTTTTGAAATCAGATGTGCGTTGACCCTTCCAGCACACCTCAGTTCAGACCAGCCACATCGGTTAACCTGCTGGACAGGGCAGCCCCAGACGGGATTATGGCCTTTGGTGGAAAATGAAATCAGTTTGGGGTTTGCACTCTTAGCCATTTGAGTGAACTGTTGCTTTTACCTGGTTTTGATTTTGTTAAGAAGAATCGTTTGTAAAATATGAAGATATGTTTGTAAAAATAGGAAGATAGAACATATTTTAAGTTTGTTAGGTTGAATTTAAACCTTTACCATCGAGTCATATGGGGAGGAGGATGTCTCCATTTGTACCTTTGCCCTTAAATTCTGGCAGCGGTCAGTGGTCAAGAGCGAGGCAGGTTGGTGGTGGCCATGGTCAGGTGCTGTCCATCTCGGTGTATCTAGGCAGGGACACAGGTAAGGACCATTTCTTACTCATCTTTGGGGCTTCAGAGCCTCAAAGATTCTTTGCGACCTGACTGGTAGTTGCTTATTTTCACTGACAGATTTGGGGTTTTCTAGGGGCTGATGGGAAGGAGACGTAGGTTGTAAAAATAGAGTAGTTGAGAAGTGTGGCATCATTAATCAGATAATAAGTAAAGAAAGCCCAGTTCTTTGTGTGTCGGCAGGTGCCACACAAAGGGGGCACATAGGTCTGCCTTGTTTTCTTCATATTCCTAGAGCGTAGTGTACAGTAGGTGCTAATGAATCAACATGTATTTACTGAGCACCTATCATGTGTCAGGTGCCATGTGATGTATTACACTCTGGGGATACAACTGTGAACAAGACAAAGTTCTTGCTCTCTTGGAATTTATGTATTATTGATGGGAAGCCTGTTTTGATAATAATAAGAAAAGGTCAGATGCAGTGGCTCATGCCCATAACTCCAGCACTTGGGGAGGCCAAAGCGGGTGATCACCTGAGGTCAGGAGTTTGAGACCAGCCTGGCCAACACTGCGAAACCCCATCTCTACAACAAAAATTAGCAGCGTGTAGTGGTGGGCGCCTGTAATCCCTGCCACTTGGGAAGCTGAGACAGGGAGAATTGCTTAAACCCAGGAGGCAGAGGTTGCAGTGAGCTGAGATGGCCCCAGTGTACTCCAGCCTGGGCGACAGAGAGAGACTTTGTCTCAAAAAAAAAAAAAAAAGTAATAATAAATCAATTGTGGACACAGCTCAAGTGACAATCTGACATATGATGGATTCTCAAAGCGCTCAGAAGAAAAATAGTAGTTTTCCTGAGTCTTAAAAGATATAATTAGTCAGCAGGCACCAGGGATATTTAAATACCTAAAGGAGGGGTCCTCCTGGCCACTTGCTGGTAAAGGATTAAGAGAATCCATTCAAGAACACTTGTCTCAAATTTATTTTGACTTACAAGCTCATGTCTATACTATTCTTTGTGACTTGACAGGTAATTGTGTTTTAGCATTTACACATGTTGGGTTTTCTAAGGGCTGAAGGAGATATACATTTAAAAAATGTCATAGGGTCAGCTGTGGTGGTGCACGCCTGTAATTCTAGCACTTGGGAAGGCCAAGGCAGGTGCATCGCTTGAGCTCAGGAGTTTAAAACCAGCCTAGGCAGCATTGTGAAACCTCATCTCTATAAAAAAAAAAAAAACACAAAAAATTAGCTGGGTGTGGTGGCATGTGCCTGTAGTCCCAGCTACTCAGGAGGCTGAAGTTGGAGGATCACTTGAGCTGGGGGAGGTGGAGGCTGCAGTGTGAACCGTGATTGCAGCATTGCACTGCAGCCTGCGTGACAGAGTGAGGCCCTGTCTCTAAATAAATAAATAAAGGCATAGCTGAGAAGTGTAGCATCATTCATGAAATAACAAGTGAGCATGATTAATAAATCAACATTTAAAAATAAAATGAAAAAAATTAAAAATTTATTGAGTTCGGGCCGGGTGCGGTGGCTCACGCCTGTAATCCCAGCACTTTGGGAGGCCAAGGCAGGTGGATCACAGGGTCAAGAGATCGAGACCATCCTGGTCAACATGGTGAAACCCCGTCTCTACTAAAAATACAAAACGTTAGCTGGGCATGGTGGCGCATGCCTGTAATCCCTGTAAGCTACTCAGGAGGCTGAGGCAGGAGAATTTTCTGAACCCAGGAGGTGGAGGTTGCGGTGAGCCGAGATTGCGCCATTGTACTCCAGCCTGGGTAACAACAGTGAAACTCCATCTCAAAAAAAAAAAAAATCAGTTCAAGGAAAAGTTGATTACGTGGATGGTTCAGCATGAGACGTAGAATAAAATGGAAACTTGTAGATCAGTTAGTAAAATAAAATCCTTTGGGTCCTTTTCAGTGGGTTTTGCGTTTGAGGGAAGTAATCACCCGGAGGGCTTTGCTGGTCACTGTGCTCATAGTTTGTCACTGCATGGCTCTGAGTGGAGCCTGAGAATTTGCAGTCCTAACTCATTCCCAGGTGATGCTGCTGCTGCTCCAGGAACCAGGCTTTGAACAATCGCAGGCCTGTTTCATTTCATTACTCTTACATGCACACTACAACTTTATGCCTCAGTTTCATATAGTTAATGCAAGGACACAAATCCTACTCAGGCAGAGAGAAGCAGGATATAGCCCAATCATGGCTGCAAAAAGAATTAGGGGAAATACACATCACCCACCTGTACAGTTTTCACCTCACTCTTATCCTGACTTTGGTGTCTGTGACTAGCCAGTCTCTTGCGTCTCCTTGTGGGGATATCAAAATTAGGCTCTCTGTAACCTGACTTTTGTTGACTTGGTTCCTCTCCTGACATTGTCCCTTCCCTGTGGAAGCTACAGGAACCTTCACTCAGATATGCCCACTGCTGTTCATGCCACTGTGCCCTCGCATGAACGTCCTCTGTTAACTCACTGCACATGTGTATTCTTCCTCAAGACCCGTCAGCTGCCACCTCCTGTTTAGTATCTTCCTGTCTTCTCTGTCTTCCCTGTTCTGTCTTCTTTGTGTACCTTGTACAGACTCCTGCTGTAGCCCTTAACATACTGTGTTACCGTTTGTAACATATATAGTTCCCTTCCTATTATGTGAGCATCTCTGGGGCATCAGCCTTACCTTCTACAGTTGCGTGGTCCCTGTTCCTAGCCCACATGTGAGCAGATATTTATGGAATGTATGTCCACAGTATATATGTATGGACTGCACGATGGAATCATTTAGTGGAAACGTTCCAGATTCCTCAGTCCATAAAAATGAATAGGATGCAATCACAACCAATAACAAGAATGCAGAGAGCTCAAATAACTGATATTTGGAAGAGAGTTGCAGTCGTGCTACAAATAAGAGCATAATGAGAAGGCCTGAGATTTCCATTACCTCATTGCTCTGTATCACAGCGAAGTCCACATGTGGCTCTACTTACATTAATCATCTCAGAAGAACCGAAGTATTATTTGTCTAGTAATGAAAAGCAATTTGCTGATACCAACGCAGGGACATGAATAGATATCACAAAATAGTTATCCATAAGCATCTGTCATCTTCATTATATTTTGGTCACAGTGATAGATTATCAAATGAATTAGAGGAACGGAATTAGTTTGAATCCTCAGCTCTAACATAATCACTTGGGAAAATATTTGCCGAGTAAAAAGATTATGAGAATGAAAACTTCTATTTACCTAAAAAAGAGTAACTGCAGAATCCTAATCATCTAGAATGTTTCAAAATCCACTGTCCGCGGGCCCATGAGCTCAGTTGCTATGTGTACTTTCAAATGCATTGCATACCACTTCTATCCTACACACAGATTTTTTAAATTATGTGGCAAGGGACGAAGAGATGGCGCTTTAAGATGAAGGAAATGGGCAGTATTTTTTTTTTTTTTTGAGACGATCACTGCAGAGTGGAACTATTTACGGTGTGGGTCACGGAAAGGCAGCACTTGTTCTGAAAAAATGTCAGTGCTAGAGTTTTGTGAGATTGCTTTAATAGATTTTTTTCTTCTTTTTTATCCAACTTTGCCAGAATTAAAGCAATGTTGTTACAGCAGGAGGAGCAGCAGGGCGACTGTGGGGTCTGTGAAAGGACGGGTGTCACTTAGTGCCTGCTGTTGGCTGCTTCTCCGGGAATCCTGGCTTCCTATATCTCACTCTATCGGCGCACCTCCCTCTCGACTCTGACCACCTTTCTCAGACTCCTGAACTGGTTTCATCTTTCTCCCTCTTGGCTCTGGGTGTCCCTCAGGTACTGTTCTTAACCTCCAGCTCCTTCCTGTATATACTCAGTTAGGTATTACCAAATGCCCCTGGGACATTTTCATTTAGATGTTCAGCCTCAAAAAGAAAAAAAAAATTCCTGCACTGAGCACATTGCACATCTACCTGAAACCCACCTCCCTTTCCAGATATTTTCTCTAATTTGCACGTGCTGTGATCAGACCCTCCCTGATGCCTTTGCTCTTGCCTAGAATGCCCCCCACCATCCCCCATTCTAGTATACAGCTCTTAAACGCTAATGCCTGCAGAAACGAGGAGAGGAATTGGCAGGTGTGATGCTGGCTGGAAATGGGGTACAAAATGGCCACTGACCTTGGCCTCAGTGTCGGGGAGCAGTAGAGCCTGTGGGGGGACAGGGAAGGGCTGGAGATCTGGTGCAGCAGCAGTCCTTTCCATGTCAGTGTGTAGGCCCAGTGTTACCAGATTTCTGTATTTTAAATGAGAATTCAGAGTATGTTTGTTTTTAATTGCCTGATTTTGGCCAGGTGCCATGACTCAAACCCGTAATCCCAACTCTTGGGTAGGCTAAGGTGGGAGGATCATTTGAGTCCAGAAGTTTGAGACCAGCCTGGGTAAGATTCAGTCTCTACAAAAAAAAAAAAAAAAAAAAAAAATGAGCTAGGCAGGGTGGTATGCACTTACGGTCCTAGCTACTTAGGAGGCTGAGGTGGGAGGTTCACTTGAGCCCAGATGGGCTGTGAGCCACGATGTCACCACTGCACTGTGGTGTGGGCAACAGAACGAAACCACATCTCAAAACAAAAATTCCCCCAATTTTATATGAACACTTGTTTGAGATTAAAATCACCTTCCAGGCTAACATTGTGTAGATTATACAGACGGTGCCGTTAGTCCTGTGTGGGCTTCAGCTGCCAGCGCACGATCTCTGATTTAGAGCATCGAGCTCAGTGCCATCCAGTAGACGTATGCAAGATGTTTGAGAGATCTAAAATTTTCCAGTAGCCGTGTTTTAAATGTTAAAAGAGAACAGGTGAGATTAACTTTAATATTTTTAACTTAACTCAGTGTTTCCCAAGTATCATTTCAACATGCAACCAACAGGAAAAATCACTAATGAGAGAGTTCACATTCTGTTTTTGCATAAAAGTCTTTGTGTTTTACCCTAAAGGCGAATCTCAACATCTCAGCGTAGACCAGCCCCGTGTAACTGGAGGCTGCTGCAGTGCACAGCCCAGCCCTGGATGAGGAATGAGAATCACATGCACATATAATGAAGTGGGATTTTATTCATTATGCTTGCGTAAAGCTCGATCAGTTGAGTTGCGGGTAATCCAGAGTAGAAGATAGTAAATCTGAGAGTGATGAGTGCAATATGACAAAAAGAAATATATAGAAAGAGATTGCTGGGATGGTACCAGAGTGATAATTCATAGGCTTTTATAAGCCCATTGTGCATGGCTTCCAAGAGTCTTTTAAGGGACTTTTCTCTCTGGAGTTCTACCCTGTGACACAGGAGCTCACAGTTTAAGTTCTAATTCACACTTGGATTTATGATGCTGTTGCCCTGCTAAAAGGCAAATGTCAAGGTGAGTGTTTTGTCTATAAGCATTTAAAATAAAATGAGCATCAAAGAAGCCACTGTAAAACGGGGAAGAGTGTTCTGAATTCATTGATGACTTTGTCAATGCATTGTGGAGGTGGGAGGATCATTTGAACCCAGGAGTTAGCAATGTAGTGCATGTGCTAAATCTTGGTGGAGCCCAGAAGTTTGAGACCAGCCTGGGTATACGAGAGTACAGTGGTAACATCGTGGCTCACTGCAGGTCCCCTGGGCTCAAGTCATCCTGCTGCCTCAGCCTCCTGAGTCGCTAGGACCAATAGGAGCACATCACCCTTCCTGGCTCATTTTTAAATTTTTTTTGTAGACATACAATCTTACTACGGGCTTCACCCAGATTTAGCAGATGCACTACACTCCTAACAATAAGCATTTCCGCCCAATGTTTACCTGCTGTTTCTTTCCCTGCACGCTCATACTGGGAAGCAGGGCCCTAGAGTTATTGTTAGCTCTGACCTCGTGAAGGTTATGACCAGCAGTGACTCCTTTTCTTGACCCTGACTGCGTGATTTTTGTGTTTCCTTGCGACTACATCCTCGATAGACTCAAAGATCTGTTGAGGGTTAGAATGGGAAGCCAGTGAAATTCTAAACCATGTTAGCATCTCCCTAGAGTAAGATGTTAATCATCTGGCATGCAGTAATATGTACATGGATCATTGTCCTCTCACCAGGCTGCTCTATGCCCAGTAACAGTCAAGATGTGGTCACTGATGCCCCCTTGCTACAAGAAGGGACCAGGGAAAGGATGCCAGCTTCCCAGGACTGTCAGTCATCCCTGTTTAACCCCTGTCTGATGTTCTCAGTGACACCTTTAGCATTTTGGAAGATATATACCATCAGTGCTATCCAGGAGCCAAGGGTCCCAACTCTGCTGAGTTAAGGCAGTGGCACAATTACCATCCTGGGTTGAACTGTCAACATTATTGGAAAGCTCATCCTAGGACTATTGCTGTGGCATTTCCCCATATCTGAACTCTCTGGCATGGATCTGTTGTGAGAAAGCTGCCAAACGTGATGATTTTGAGAAACGAGTCTAAGGAACCTTGAAGGGAATCCAGGCCCCTTATAGAGCTGGTCATTTCTTAAGTCATTCAGTACTGCCTTCCTGGCCTATGTCTTGTCTCGCTGGCCTCAGTAAGCAGCCTCCGCTTGGTTCCAGCCAGTCTTACCTCCTAAGTACAGCATTGATTGGAAGAAGAGGAAGCAGAAAGTCTGCCTTTGTGCAAGAAGGAACTTGCCCACAATTGTCTTGGGGCACATATTAGTCTCTGTATGAATTGCTTTAGTGCAAACATTTCCACCAGCACGTAAAATTTCAATTGTCTTTGTTTTGAGCCTTCTGAATTCAGAGGAAGTATTTCATATTGATATATTTAGGTGAAAGAGAAAGTTACAGAGCCCTTTTGGTTTGAGGTTACCACTCCAGACACTTCAAATGAAGATGAAATTTGAGAACTAATTCATAGAGATAATGACTTAGAGTAGAAATTGAGAGCAAATACTTCCTTTCTTGGAAATGGTTCAAAAAGTGGATAGTAAAACAAAGGAGAGCAAAATGGAACTTGGCTGGGATGCCATGGGCGTTTCCTGGTTTCGTCCACACATCCGTTCTTCAGATAAAGGTTTATTGATTTTACCATGATATGCCAGGCACTTAGAATGCAAGCATAGTTAAGATCCAGTTAGTTTGTTTGTTTTTAATTTAGTAGACTTGGTCGGCGGTAGGGCCTGCAAGACCAGCTCCCAATAATCCTCAATTCCTGGTGTACACAGCTCTGTTCCGTCCCTTCCCATAATGAATAAGGCCAACCTGTATAACCAATAAGATAACATGGAAGTAATGATTTGTAACTCCAGAGCTAGATCAGAGAGGTTGCTGTTTCTACCCTGCTCTCTTGGATCACTTGTTCTGGAGGGAAGCCAGTTGCCATGTTGTGAGGACACCCAGGCAAGCTGTGGAAAGGACCACAGGGAGAGCTGAGGCTTCCTGTCAGCAGCCAGTCCCAACTTTTCAGCCATGAGAAAAAGCCCCTTGGAAGCAGATCTTCCAGCCCCAGGCAAGCCTCCACGTGACTGGCACTGGCTGATATCTTGATTGCAACTTCATCAGAGACCGCAAGCTAGAGCCACTTAAATTTCTGACCTATACAATGTGTGTGATGTGATAAGCGTTTATTGTGTTAAGCCTTTGTGTTTTAAGATCATCTATTATGTAGCAATACATAACTAATACATAGTCTTTACGTGTGGCCAGGCTTTGTTTGAAGGCCTTTGCAAATATTAACCCACGAATCCTCCTAACAACTCCTCAAAGTTGGTACTGTTGTTATTCTTATTTTATACATGTGGAAATGGAGGCCCAGAGATTACTTTTATCTTTTTGAGTTTTGCGTTTTTTTATTTTGTAAAAATATTTTATTTATAATTTTTATGGATATATAGAGATGTTTAAATTACTAGCCCAAAGTCAGTTTGTAAAGTGTTGAGCTGGGATTTGATTTGAGCAGTCTACCCCTTAGTAGAATCTGCTTTAAAAAAAAATGAACTAAGCAGTCTGGCCAGAGTCCATGCTCTTAGCAGCTACATTGTGTTGTCCTCAAGGAGGAGCATGTTTTAGAAAATTAGTTATTAAATCAGGTGACTGATGAAGGGCAGGGTTAGGCTAAGATAAGAGTGTACTCTGTTCAGAATCCAGCTCTGTTACCATTCAAGTGGAAGGTCTTGGTTAAATCACTTATTGGAACTTCTGTACAATAATCTGTAAAACCATTACTTCCCACTTGGAAAGATTTTGAGGATTAAATGACATAATGCATGAAAGCCCTCTAGCTTGAGTGTCAGTACACCTGAGTTCCCTTCCCTTGCTCTGCACAACCTGATCATCACCACTAATGGGGAACTCTGTCCTCTGTAGGGCCCCTGCAGACATGGGCCTTGCCCGGATGCTGCTGCTCTCTGAGCCTCGGAGAGCTGTGCCTGGCATTCCAGCACAGGTGGTCACAGCTATCAGAAGGAGACTCCTGTTTGGGACCCTGCCCTCACTCCCACATAGGAAAAATCCATTTCCTGAACATCTCTTGGCCTTTACTGTTAGGTTGTAGAATAACAACAATTAATGATTTTCTGTGTTTAGTTCCATTATGCACAATACTCCACAGAATGGGTGGCTTTGAATGCCAACCACAATTTACAAAGTGGAGTGGCTCTGCTGTCTCTTTGAGGTATTGTGGAGCCAGACGTGTTGCTATTGGGGGTGGGTGGTGATTTATAGGACAGCACCATTAGCAGAGGCAGGCACAGAGACCTGGGTTCAAATCCCACTACCAGTGCTATCAGGTGTGAGACTTTGGACAAGTTATTTAACCTTCTTGAGGCTTAGTGTCCTTGCATGTAAAATTCAAAAATGCTGACCTCATTGATTCCTTGTGAGGAGCTCTTGGGGTAACGTGGGTACCATGTGTCAGTATCATTTCCCTTTCCCTTCACAATGATTGTATTGGAAAGCTAGTGTCAAAGGCAGCTAATGGTTAGGAGTTCAGACTCACACAAGAATACATTTTATTTTGCTGTGGAAATTTAGTGATAACTTTGGACTAAGACAATTTCAAGACATTACAGCAGACAGTCAGAGAGTAGTTACATTCTTGTGAGGTCTGCAGAAGTCCCTAGTGGAGAGAGCAGACACAGTCCTGGATGCTCAGTCCTAGCTCGGCTGTGAAACCGGAGCTGTAGTCTTTTCAAGTCTGTGTTTCTGACCCTGGAGGAAAAAAGTTATATATACCTTAAAAGATTTTCTTGAAAAAAACTTGTACATGTCTGTATACACAAGATGGAGGAATAAAGCAGTCCATAAAGTATAATAGGCATTCATGACTAAAACCAAAAACAAGAAAAAATACAAAGCAATACTCATAGAAATTTAGAAATAGAAGAAACCAACAACGTGAAAAAATGCTCAGCATCACTAATTATCAGAGAAATGCAAATCAAAACCGCAGTGAGAGAACATTTCATACAAGTCAGAATGGCTGTTACTAGAAGTCAAAAACCAGCAGACACCGGCAAGTCTGTGGAGAAAAGGAACACTTATATACTGTCGGTGGGAATGTAAATTCGTTCAGCCACTGTGGAAAGCAGTCTGGAGATGTCTCAAGGAACTTCAGACAGAACTACCAGTCAACCCAGCAATCCCATTACTGGGTACATATCCAGAAGGAAATAAACTGCTGTCCCAAATAGACACACGTATGTGTGTATTCACAGTAGCACTATTCACAGCTGCAAAGACATGGACTCAGCCTATGTGCTGTCAGCAGTGGATTGGATAAAGAAGATGTGGTGCATATACATCATGGGCAGCTGCTTTTAATACTGAGCAGCCATTAAAAGGAACAAAGTTGTGTTCTTTGTGGCAACATGGTTGCAGCTGGAGGCCATTATCCTAAGCAAATTATGCAGGAACAGAAAATCAGATACCGGATGTTCTTTACTTGTAAGTGCAAGTTAAACATTGGGTACTCATGGACATGAAGATGGAGATAATAGATATTGGGGCTACAAGGTGGGTGGGAAAGGGATGAGAGGCTGTTGGGTACTATGCTCTCCACCTGGGAGATGGGATCATTTGTAACCCAAACCGCAGCATCACGCAATAGACCCATGTAACAAACATGCACATGTATACCTGAATCTAAAATGAAAGTTGAAATTATTTTAAAAATTAAAAAATAAAAAGAAGGCATATATGGGCAGATTTCTGCTACATATAACCAGTCAATTAATATTCAGAATATTTAAGAATTCCTAAAAATTAGGAAAAAGACTATGTCGTAGAAAAATGGATACAAAATGGGAACAGGGAGAAATCAGAGGTGAGGAAGTTGAATGGGTAATAAGCATAAAAAAGATGCTTGGCCTCACTAGTAGTCAAGAAACTGCAATTAAAAACAATACAAAGAGATACTATGCTACGCCTCTCAGATTGCAAAGAACTAAAATCTGAGAACACCAAGGATTAGCAAAATAATATAGGGAAGTAAGGATTTTCCTACAATGCTGCTAGCCAAGGGTGGTGGTGGGTGCCTGTAGTCCCAGCTACTAGGGAGGCTGAAGCAGGAGGATTGCTTGAGCCCAGAAGTTAAAGGCTGCAGTGAGCCATGATTACTGCACTGCACTGTAGCAACAGAGAAGGACCCTGTCTCTGAAAAAAAAAAAAAATTGTAAGATCATTTTGGAAAATAAGTGGCATTTTCTACTATAAGTCAGCAAATCTACAAATCCAAATATACTCAAGAAAAGCATAGATGCAGGAGGAAGCATATAAGAATGTTCACTGGGGCATTGTTTGTAAGAGGTAAAACCTGAGACCAGTCTAAATGTCCATCAGGAAAATAGTAGATTTAAGAAATATTTGATGTGTATAAGATAGAACACCATATAGCAATTAAATGATTGGATTTGATACATTTGGATAACTTAATGTTGATAAAAAATCTCAGCTAAATAATGTTCCTTTTGTGTAACATTTTTTAAAACCACAAAATGGCACTTTAGTTTTGAACATATATATGATTTTATATATGATTTTATAATTGTGGGCGTGTGTGTGTGTGTGTGTGTACACACACACACAAAAAATATGTATTTTATATATAAACATTTGTATATATACAAGCACACCCCACAGTTATGAAATCGTGCCTGCGAAAGGCATCTAGAAGTTCTAGAGAACGATATCCTTTGGGAAGGGAAGCGGGGCAAGTTAAATTGAACTAGAGTGAAAAGGAGGCTTGAACTCTGTTATGCTTTATTTCTTTTGAGACAGAGTTTCACTCTTGTTACCCAGGCTGGAGTGCAATGGCGCGATCTCGGCTCACCGCAACCTCCGCCTCCTGGGTTCAGGCAATTCTCCTGCCTCAGCCTCCTGAGTAGCTGGGATTACAGGCACGCGCCACCATGCCCAGCTAATTTTTTGTATTTTTAGTAGAGACGGGGTTTCACCATGTTGACCAGGATGGTCTCGATCTCTTGACCTCGTGATCCACCCGCCTCGGCCTCCCAAAGTGCTGGGATTACAGGCTTGAGCCACCGCGCCCGGCTGCTTTATTTCTTAAAGAGAAAAAAAGAATCTGGGGAGTGACTGCTTAATGCGTATGGGTTTTCTTTGTGGTAATGCGAATGTTTTGGAACAATATGTACTTATATATTGCATTCAACAGCGTTTAATACATTTACCTTGGGCAACCACCACCTATCGGTGAATGTGTATATCTGTATATAAATATACGTGTGTGTGTGTGTGTGTGTGTGTGTGTGTGTGTGTGTGTGTGTGTGAGTGAGAGAGAGAGAGAGAGAGAGAGAGATGGTTGCCCAAGATGAATATATTAAATACTGTTGAATGCAGGGAAAAACAAGGAACTGAAATAATAAGAGACCTAAAGGCAATGTCACAGAATTTGTTCAAGTTGAAGGTTGATTATGCTAATTTAAGTATTTTCTGTATTTGTGTATTTAAAAGCCTTCATTGAAGCAACAGACATCAGCACTTTTGAGATGTACCCAGAGAAGTTGTTGGAGATCTGTCTCTGAGTGGAGAGCTTTCTCTTTAGGCCTGTCCCTGTGTACAGGAAGGTGTTCGTGTATGAGTGCTGGTACCATGCCTGTGTGCACACATGCTTGTGTTCATCTCATGCTCAGCTGCTGTTGCCTTGGTAACTTGAGATGCTCTGTCTCCTGCTGAGTCTGGGGTAGTTGGAAGGCTTTGCGCATCGGTTGTTCGTTTCTCTTCAAGGACTCTCATTGAGTGCAAGGCTGATCATCTGTCTATCTTTGTCTCTGCCTCCTAAATAGGCAATTTACCTTGTCATGAGTATCTTCTGGCTACTCTCCCCAGCTTGCATACCTCATTTTGAGCCATTCATTTCTAAGACATAACTGTGAATGCCTAATCAAAAAAGAAAAAAAGGAAAATTTACAACCTTAAACCATTTTCTCTAAATAAGCAGATAAGGACCAGGAAATGCTTTAAGGATTGTCGGGGGGCGGGGGACGGGTGGAGGATGTGCTGTATTTGCATTGTCTCTACAGATCCTCTTTTCCAACCACTGGGAATGCCTCAGTGGGCAAGGCCTCCAGCTGTAGGACCCGGCACCGGCACATATTATGGGATGCGGCTTCATTAGTGCTTGTGGAATAAGCTCCTACCTTTTGGTCACTGTGGTCCATTAGGAACCTTCTGGGCCTCCTGTGTCCACTGGCCTGCTGTGCCAGTCTTTCTAGCTGTCACTTGGAGTGCTTGAGCCAGAAACTGATGTGATAAGCCTAATGGTGGTTCAGCTCTGGGTCTCACATGCCCACCCACCCAGAGACATTTTTTAGTGGGTTGAGGCTACATGAAAAGATGTCAAACAAACATGTGCTGTTTATCAACACAGTAGGGTTTCCATTCTTAGAATGTTACAGTGGTCGTATCTTAAGGATTTCTAACCCAACCAGCCAGCTAGCCAATATTTACTGAGTTCTTGTACTTTATGAGGCATTTTAGAAATGTGAAGACTGAAGTCCAAAGAAGTTGTGTGAGTTTTTTTGTTTTTGTTTGTTTGTTTGTTTGTTTTGACAGAGCCTCACTCCGTCGCCAGGCTGGAGCACAGTGGCGTGATCTCGGCTCACTACAACCTCTGCCTCCCGGGTGCAAACAATTCTCCTGCCTCAGCCTCCAGAGTAGCTGGGACTATAGGTGCCCGAGACCACACCCAGCCAGAGTGTGTGTGTGTGTGTGTGTATTTTTCACCATGTTGGCCAGGACGTCTCAATCTCTTGACCTCATGATCTGCCCTCCTTGGCCTCCCAAAGTGCTGGGATAACAGGCATGAGCCACCGCGTCTGGCCGTGAGTTTTTTTATTAGCTCAGTTGGCACCTTTGCCTAGAGAGGTACCTGCTCGATGCAGGCTCCTCCACCATCCTGCTTAGAACAATCATGAGAGCCTGCTCTTTCCGCATTGCTCTTCTAAGACCACCACATAGAGAAGACCGTGACATAGGTGCTTTTGGCTAAGGGCTGAATCCATATTGAGCCCTTAGCTGCTGGAACAGAGGGTCTTAGCCCAGTCAGAATGTGAAGATTCTTAACCTGTGATGTGGATGTGTGGTTTTCCCTTTAGCCTCAGTCCAGATGTGCATTCACAGGAAAGAAGGCACCTACTTGCTATCCCACTGTAGATGTTAATTTTCCCTGAGAAGCAGCCAGGGCCTGTTCCAAGGATGCAACATCTAGACACAGTTCTTGGCCCAAGATAGAAAGAGGAAAAAAAAACATCCATTGGGGCTCACTCTCAAAAGGCCCTTGTACAAGGTACTCCTCATTCAGGACCTGTCTGGACAAAGTGATGGTTTTTTATCAGTCTGGCAACATTTCTTACAATTCCATAAGGCCCAGGTGATGAAAACAGCAGAGTGTGAATGTATTTAGTGCTTTTTCTCTTCTGTTTTAAGAAAAAAAACATGATTAACATGGAATATAAGTCTGTTAGTTCCTACTTGTCATCCTGGTAATTTTTCTTCTTATTGATTCCAGCCTTTCCAAACAATTAATTTTATTTGCCTGATGCACACATAGTAGATTAAGAGTTTTATGGTAAAGATATTCTCCAAAATGGGTACTAGCAATGATCTCTCAGGAAGGGCCTGCAGTGGGCAGGAGACTCAATTTTTATTGAATATTCTGTAATATTTGAATTAAATTTTCCCAAATGCATCTCTTTTTCAATTAAATAAACTTAATTAAAAAACCTTTTCTAGTAGAACACAAGGGACACCCATGCTGGTAATACGACATACACTGTGCTAACTCAGTATAGGCTCGTTGGAATTACCACGCCCCAGTTCTTCCACTTAGTAGCTATATGATGCCCCCAATGACTTCAACATCCCAGCCTCAATTCTCGAATCTGAACAGTGGAGATGAGGATGATTGCTTATCTCACAGAGTATTATAAAGGTGAAGTGAGGCAGGGATATCACACTTTCCTGCATGAAAATTACATTGCCTGCCTCCCCCATGAATTTTTACTGTGCACCTCGATAGTAGGACATTGATCTTACCTATCTTTATGTGCCCAAGTCCCCCAGCGCTGCCTCTGAAACATTCTGATAGGAAGGGACATTCTGTCATATTATTTACTGCTATATCTGTAGTGCCTCGAAGAGTGCCTAGCATAGCATTTGTGCTGTGTAAATGTTTGAGTGCACTTATGCGTTGTAGGAGGTAGTTACTTGATGGTTGAACACTGATTTGCTGAAATGACCTACACGTGTCCTGTCTTTCTCCTCGTGGTTAGTGCTAATAAATGTCTCAGCTTCAGAGAAGATACACTATGGAGTCTACATTCCTTTTGCTCATTACTACTTTATTGTTTTTTTTCATCAGCTGGCCTGTCATCGGCCTCAGCATTTATCAACAGACCTTGTCATTCTTCCTCCCCCTTCCCATCTGAGGATGTCTCATCAGTGGACAACTTGTTAGTGAATATCTTGTTATTCCTTCATCAGACCTTCTGTCATTTTCTCAGCTGTGTTGAGGAGAAATCCCAGACTTCACTGGAAAGGTCAGGAGTTGGCAAATGAGAGCTAGACAAGATTCAGTAGTGACATGTAGTGGTTGTCCTGTGGGATGAAGGGCTTTCATGAGTGATACAGTAGGTACACACAACAGCTAGTTCTCCGTGGAATTCACGGATACAGGGCCAGGATTATATGCTTCACCAGCCAGAAGATGACACCAGGTCAGCCTGGCTGGGCTGTGGGTCTAATCACGGACCTTCGCAGTAGGTTCGAATGAGGTGGCACTGGGGTAGGCATTGCCTGGCAGTGCTCCCCATCAGCTCCATGGCTGTAGCTGTCAGCCTCTATCATGGATTCCGATAACCGTCCAGATTAACTGAAATGTGTACAACTTGTTGGCGCCTCATGATATGTGGTACGTGGACTGTCTCCGGCACTGGTTATAAAGGCAGATACCTGGATCCCACCCACACCTTCCAGAGGGGCCTCTCTGGGGAAGGGCTTCCTAAGTATCAGCTTTAACATGCCCCAGTCAGTGCTAACTTGCAGGGAAGGTGGAGAGCCATGCTGCACTAGCTGGGAGTCTGGTTTTTGGAGCTAACAGGCCTGGATGGGGTCTAGGCTCTGCCACCTGCTAGCTGTGTGGTTGTGGCACGCAGTCCTGCTGAGTCTCTGCTTCTTCCTATACATGAAGATAATGCTGATGGTGTCCATCTCATGGAGTTGTTAGGATTAAGTGAGAAGGTGTATGTAGGGCCCCATAGCGCAGCCTATGACTTACCACAAGCAGATAAGCGTATAGGTGGTGAGGCAGTGGTGACAATGATGACGAGCATCTGTGGAGAGGGGAGTGGTTTGGGTCATTCCGCTCCATGGAGTGTTAGAAGAGTAGATGCTTGAGTGGTACTGAATAGATGATGCCTTATTGGCCATTTTATTGACAAACAGAACACCAGAAACCAAGGATATTAACTCCCTGCAGTGGATGTCACCATAGTCTGTGTATCAACAAAGTTTCCAAAGTGATTATGAAGCAAGCTTTGTTTGGGTTTGGAAGGGGATGGATGCTGGTGAGTGAGTTCCAGAACTAAAGCAGGTACAGTCCAGAAGCAGTCATTAGAGTTTCCTATTAATTGTCCCTTAAATGCATTAGTCCCAACTGAAATCTGATGCTTTGTCTAATGCTAAAAACATCATCATTTTACGTTTCATCCCGGATGCATCTGAAGCCAGCATTTGAGCTCCTCCCTAAAGCA